AAATATTCCATAACATAAAGCAAATGAAGGGTCAAATTTCATTTAAGAGAGAAAACATGGGTGCCATTTAAGTTTGAGGTTAAATGCTTCAATTTAGTGGGGTTTTTATTTTCAAAAACGTGGGTGGCCCTTTGAGAAAATAATTGATGAAAATAAATATTTAAATTCTAGAGAAAAACGAGAATTTTTCATTTCAGGCAGTTTCGGTTGACCGGTTGTAGTCGGGTTGACATTGCACAGTTTTCAGTGTTTCTATCATAACTTCTTCTCCCGATATCCGATTGAGGTAATTCAAAGTGTGTTGGAAAGCTAACTCAAAGAGCTACAATTTTTATTTGATATCATTTTCCAAATTGAATGTTTCCTATGTCGAAAATGGGTCTCAAATAAGACTAAAAATCTGAAGTATACTTTAGTAATCTAATATTCATGTCTTAGTGCTACTAAAGTGTCTAGAATTATTTGGGGTTCTACAATATGGATACCAGGATGTTCATCAAGATGTTGATTCTTTTGAATTTGAACTCATTGATAAGCTGGCTGATTTTATCCGTTATGATTGGTATAAGGAGCATGGCATTATATTTTTAGAGGTAGCTTTCACGTCATTAAAAATAAGATTATGTTTGTTAAAAATATATATTTAAAGTTGACTACTAGCAATTTGTAGTTCATCACTTGAATATAAATGTTTCCACAGTAGGATTTTAGAAAGTTTTGGTGTATCTCTGAATGAAGGAAAGCTGAGAAAAGATCAATTCATGGATAAAGGAAGCCATAGTAAACAACTTGATAAAAGGTATCCCATTTCCAAATCAATAGAATTAGAGAATTATTTATTGTGCTTGATCTTAAAACATTGAGACTGTCTAGTTAACAAAGTTGACAACAAGCATGCTTATTCTCGAAACTAAAGCACTCTAAATTGCACAGCAGAATGTTTGCATGCTATGTGAGGGAATAATATTAACAGAATTAAGAAGGGCATTGTGAAACTCACATTACCAACATATATTAACAGGAATCCACCTCCTCCTTTTCTGCCTGAGTCGCAGAGGCATCAGTTAAATCTTCTAACATGTCATAAACAAATGTTACAGTTAGTTGTGAGTCACCAGTTCAATATAAAAACCAATTGTGAATAAAAAAGCCACATTATCAAATTAAGAAAAATGGAAAGTATGCTCTCTTGCACAGATTCTACAAACACAACACAAATGTTGTGTAATTTGTCGTTTATTTTGCAGTTATTTAATTTATTTCTAATTTTTTTTTGAAGTACAGCCCATATTTGACTCATTTGCAAGTGTAATGCCCCGAAAATTTTAGAATAAAATTTATTTATATTGTTTATTAATTGTTATTTAAAAAAATGAGGACCATAATGAAATAGGATTTTGAATTCATATTTTATTTGGGTCAAATAATTAAATATTTATAGAGCGAGATTTAATAGATTAATATTGGACTTCTTTTGTAGCTTGTAATTAATTAGAAATTTTCAACTCAAAAAATAATTATTTCAAATAAGCTATGTCCACATTTTTTAAGCAAAAAGAATATTTGCCTAGATCCATAACTAATTTAGTTAACATTGGTTTTGAAATCCTTCCAGCCACACTCGTTCAACAACCCCCCCTTTTTTTTAATTCTTTGAAGTTGGACTGATTTATTTTTATAATATACTTTTGTACAAATTCTTGGCATGATTGATGGAACCGTGTGTCAACTGCCTAGACTTGGAATTAAAATTGCCTGCTTGATTTTAGCATGTGAGTTTGTAAATTTAATAGTGAAATACGCGTAAAATGTGATATAAAAATTATGGATTATTTTGAGTAGAACACAAAAATAGTCACGACAAGACAAGAGAGAGAATTTGGGACATGAAATTTTTATTTTCAGCCAACAATTATTTTCATCAGACGAGGTAGGATTATGAGGTGCAAGTGGTTAGTCCCGTTTAATTTATTTCTTCATGTTGATGAATATTATACTCATGAAAGTTATAATATGATATGATGATGATATGATATGATATGAAATTGTCATCTGGTACTAAAGATATGATATGATATGAGCTCTTCACGGAATCGAAAGATATGATATGACGGTATGATTAATTTTGATGCATGACTTAATATTTTATTCGGGATCGCACTATTAATCGTGTCCTACTAAGTATTCCCATATATTCATCCCTTTTTCCTCCTCACAGATTGAACAGGTCGTTGGTTGGCGGCGATTAGGTGCAATTGTGGTGTCAGGAATTTGAAATTAAATTAAATTTGGTGATATGTGATGAAAACATTATAAACTCCAGCTTTTCTTTAGTTTTATTATTCCATCGATTTTATTTAGAGATAAGAAATATAATTTATTTGATTACGTATTCCTTAGGTGTTATTTTTATATCCCGACAGTGGAACCATAACTTAAATTACAATAAGTTGTCTGGAATAAAACGTATAATATATGCATGTATTGTTTTGAAATATATTTTTATTGTATTTGATATTGCATGAATATGTTTTCCTCTCTCACACACACACGAGATACAAATTACGTGCATATAAAATGCACATGGGCAACGGCAGTCAATACAACCAAATTAACATTCAATGGTGCCATGACCACTCGATAAATAAACTATCATTATTTTATTTCTAGACACACAAGGCACTATTACATGTTTGTGAATATGGTAGATGCCAGTCAAAACTGTTGATTGATATTTGATGATGCCATGATAATTTGATCAATAAATTGTTTGAATTGTATTTATGGAATTATTCCTAATATTGAACTAATTGATTAATTTAAGTGAGAGTTTTAAAATAAAAACCATTTTTTATTTGAATTGCTCATATTAAAATAAATAAAAGAAAGTTTTTCGTGATGACTCATATTTATTTTACTATAAATTTTGGGTCGTTACATCAAGCATTTAAGATCTGGATAACATTAAGGGAAGGTATTTATATACATTACAACAGACAACTCAGCTTCTACTGTACATGTCACGGTTAATAAATAAAGTAATAATTAATTTCACAAAATTTATAGCTTTAATCTCATGAAGTCAGGATATGCTGGACCGTGAGTTCTACATCTTGTCGATGAATAGGAAAAATTAATAATTAGAAAGAAGAAAACTCAGTTTGAGCCCCAGAACGTGTAATATAGTTCCCAGCCACAATGTGGTTACTATAATAACCTAATAGCTGATTATGAGAAAATATGTAACAAGATAAATTTTTCATCCTAGGAATTCCAATATAATTTCACCAATTTTAAAATTATAAAAAGGCTAAACTACGTCAAGAAAGAGAACAAATCAAATATGCATACATTTGAAGAAACAGACAATTAAAGACTTACACATTGTGAGGTTCATTGGATATCAATATTTTGCATCTACTTATATATACAAATAACCACCAGACAATGAAATCTAAGTTACTTAACTTTATTCCTTATATAACCATTTCTTCCTATGGTAGATCTTAGTTCTTCGCTTAATGAATGGCATAACAACCTATAGTTGTTCCCCATCCAATTGTATAATTAGCATAAAATACTTACTCCACAATGATAAATATAGCTTTGATGTGTCACCTCCAATAATGAGAAAATTTTCAAGATTCAATAAGTTCCTCGCAATTAGTGGCCAATATTAGCGAAAGAAAGGAAACTCAAAGCCACTTTCTGGAAACTAGTCAATTGAACCTAGGTAGCATTCTTGATGCGATTAAAAGATATTGTTCCTTTATATTGCAGCCTGGTGCTGGTGGCGGTTCTACTATCTAAGTTGCTAATTTTTTATTCAATTTTTTCTATTATTTATTGTAATTAACTTTTCTAAGGGGTGATGGTGATGTCGTAGTCGATGTGATTGCATTTATAAAGGTGGTGTTTGAGTGGAGATGAGAATGGATTAGGATGGGTGAGTGTCGATGTCATGGGTGGATTAGTTTGGTTGGAGAAGATGGAATTTGTGTTAATATATGTTTAAGCAGGATTTATTTATTCTTTTGAAAAACTAAGCAATTTCATTTGCAATTTTTTCTTATTTTTTGTCGTTTTACTTCTTTCTTTTATTTTTGTTTATTGAAATAGTTATTTATATGTCTGAATTGGAGGGAACGATGAGTTTTGTTCCATAATTAAAAGGTTAAGAAATGATTATGTTAAAAAAAATGTTTATCATAGATTTGTTATGTTTCTCAAAATTGAGGATGAAAATCAGAAATCGGGCAAAATCAGTAAACAAACTAAGGAAAAAGGACAAAATTATTTATTTAATTTTGGTCTAATACCCAACTTCAAACGTTATTTAGATACTAATTTGTAGCAAAATCATAATGAAATTCTTGGGTGACGAATTTTTTCTAATTATCTGACTGATAACTATAATTTATTCTGTAAGTGTGTCATTTGATACTCAACTTCAAATCATGTGAAGAATCTTTTCCAAACATAAAAACCAATAAGGTGTAAAGTCAAGTTACTTATTATTTATTTATTTTTTGTTACAAGAAATCCAAACGTTTTTTTTTTCCTAGCCATCACTGTTGATCGGAACTCGTTGATTAACAAGTATGCAACAATACTTTCTCATTGTCTATGTTTTTTACCCCCCAAATATAAGCGTGCGATTGAATTCTTAAGCCTATCATCGTATAACATTAAAAGTTTTAAAAAAAGGACACATTTTTCTATTCAATTAGTATTGATTACAATTATATATTCATTATTCACAACGAATTATTGGGGAATCTTTTCTGACAATAACGACCAATTGGCACCAGAGGGTGGGGTTTAAGTCAAGTCTTCCTTGTTGGTTTGTTTAATCAAGAATTCATTATTTATCCAAACATTATTAATCGCTGGAACATTGATTTGACAAGTCAATACATTTTTCTAAGGAGTTATTGCTGATATGAGTAGTCTTTTTGGTAGCTTTCTACACAAATTCATTCTTACAACTAATTCTATAAGTAGTCCGCTTTAATGGTGAAAAATCACAAAAGAATATCAGAAAATTCTTAGTTACAATTGTTCACAGAATGATAGTTGATCAAAAGTTCTTTCAACATCTCCAATTGTTAGTCATTGTACTACTACTGAGTTGGAGAGCCACTTTTGAACGCTCTACAAGAATGAAAGATGTCATCAGGTGCATAGAAAAGGAGAAAGAAGCTCTTCTCAAGTTCAACGATGAGCTTATTGATGAATATAGCCCACTCTCTTCTTGGGGAAATGAAAAATATAAGAAGGATTGCTGCAAATGGACTGGTGTCAGTTGTGACTATCAAACTAATCATATTGTTGAGTTGGATCTTGGTGGTATGGGTCTAAGAGGTAACATTAGCATCTCGTTGCTTGAAATACAACATTTGAAATATCTAGACCTTAGTGACAATGATTTCAATTATAGCAGAATTCCACAATTCATAGGTTCCCTAGGTAGATTACAGCATCTTGATCTCTCTTATTCTAATTTTAGTGGAGAAATTCCCCATCATCTCGGCAACCTTTCTGAATTGAATTCTCTTCATCTTAGCTCATCAACTAATGGTTCACTAACTAGCACAAATCTTGATTGGCTTTCTCGACTTCATTCATTAAAAAACCTGTCCATGTACTCTGTTAACCTCACAATGGCTACCGATTGGTTACAAATAATAACTAAGCTTACTCAGCTTCAACATTTATTCTTAGATTCATGTAACCTGCCAATGGTACTTCCTCCCTCACCTTTCAATGCTTCTAATTCTCTTTCTGCCTTTGGGCTCACGGGAAATGAGTTCTCTTCTTCTTGGATATTTCCTTTGGTGTTTAACTTAAGCAGTGGCCTTACTTTGCTTGACCTCAGCTCCAACAAATTACAAGGCGAGATTCCAATATCCTTGGGGAATATGAGTAGATTAACTTCTTTATATTTATATGGTAACCAATTCACAGGAGAAGTGCCTTGTCCTGCATTATCTTCCTCGTTAACAGACTTAGATCTTTCTAACAACATGTTTAATGGTACCATTCCCCAATGCATAGGAAGCCTTTCTAAACTCAAATCTTTGTACCTTGTTTTAAACAACTTTGAAGGCATAATCACTGAATCCCATTTCTCTAATCTTTCCCAATTACAATGGTTGGACTTGTCTTCCAACCCGAGTATCTCTTTTAATATCAATTTAGGATGGAATCCTCCTTTTCAACCGACAAGTTTATATTTAGCAGATTGCAACGTAGGTCCACATTTCCCCACATGGCTTAGAACACAAACGAGATTAAAGTATCTTGATATCTCTAATGCTGAGATTTCAAACACCTTCCCTGATTGGTTTTGGGAGTTGAGTCCAAAATTAAGGACATTAAATGTATCAAATAACAATTTTCAAGGTGTCCTTCCTGATTTGTCATCAAAGTTCTCTAATTTCAATTCCATAGATCTAAGCTTTAATCATTTTAATGGTTCATTACCAATTTTGCCTCCGAATGGATATGTAGTGGATTTATCGAGTAATGAGTTCTGGGTCAATCACCAATATATGCAAGGAAACTGGTTGTTATTGGGAATATCTTGACCTCTCGAATAACTTACTCTCGGGACAGCTTCCAGATTGTTTTGCAAACCTATGAAATTTGGTTTACCTTAATCTGGCGCATAATAATTTCTCTGGAAAGATCCCTTCACTAAATGTCACCTTATCATTGCACTTACAAAACAACAATTTCACTGGAGAAATTCCAACATCGTTGAGGAGTTGTACTTTCTTGACTTTTATTGATCTTTCCCAAAATAAGTTGACTGGTAATATACCTACATGGGTGGGAGATACTTGGACTCATTTGGTCTTTCTGAGTCTCAGGTCCAATGAGTTCTTTGGTAGTATTCCTTCCCATTTGTGTCGTCTTGCAAACTTACAAGTGTTGGACCGCTCTTTAAACAAGATTTCTGGTGGTATACCAAAATGCTTAAACAACCTCACTGCTATGATTCAAGTGGATTCTGAGTTTGATAGCGCATTTATTCTTAATTACAGAAGAGGATTTGAGAGTGCATTTGTAATATGGAAAGGAAAGGAGGTCGAGTACATAAATACTCTTAATTTGGTGAAACTCATCGATCTTTCAAGCAACAATTTAGTAGGTGATGTTCCTACGGAAATTACCAGTCTTGTAACACTAGTTGGATTGAACCTTTCAAGAAACAACCTATCTGGATTCCTTCCTCCTAATATTGAACGATTAAAATCTTTGGATTTTCTTGATTTTTCAAAAAACCACTTCTCTAGTGGCATTCCTATTGGTGTTTCTCAATTGGATCGACTTGGAGTGTTAGATTTGTCATAAAATAACTTGTTGGGCAAAATTCCACAAAGCATTCATTTACGAACTTTCAATGTTCTGCATTCGAGGGAAACCCTGGACTTTGTGGCCTTCCACTTACAAAAGCTTGTCCAAAAGATGAAATTGCTCAAGTTCCAAAGATCGGTCATAATGTTGATGGGACGAAAAACCAAGAGGAGGATAAGCTAATCAATGACGGATTTTACATTAGTATGGCAGTTGGGTTCGTTTTTGGATTTTGGGGGTTATGTAGAACTTTTGTACTCAATCACTCGTGAAGGATTGCATTTTTCAAGTTTTGGAATAGCATAACGGATTGATTGTATGTAAAGATAGCCATCTACAAAATCCGTCTAAGAGAAGCATATCACAAATTTGTAGAACTTTAGGATGCGGTTAGTTTGCGTTTGCGTTTTTTGTTTTGAGGGACTATTTTCGAATTATGGAAAATGTGTTTGATTTATCATTTTGAAAAACGATTTCTCAAAATAGAAAACTAGAAAATATGTTTGGTTTAAAATTTTTAGAAATTGTTTTATGATATTTAATTTATTCAATTATTTGATTATTCAATATTCATTTTTTTGAATGTAAAACATTTATCGATTCGACTATCGTACAATCGTTAATGAATTTTTAAAATTAGCTTATTATCGAAAATTTCGAAATATAGTTTGAAAATGCCTATTTTGACGCCCCGAAACATTTGCTACTATTAGTCGTTTCACGCACCGTTAACGACGTGCAATATTATGCCGCGAGTGCTTCAAAATGACATTAAGAATGTAATATTTCGACTTCATTTGATATCCCGTAATGAGCCTAAAAATGAACACAAAAACATAAGTTAAAAAAAAAAAAGAACAACCAAACATTTAGCAAACCTCCGTGAACGCAGGTTTATGGACTTTTTTTTTTTTTACTTTATTTGTAGTACATTTTTTTATTAATATTTAATTTAAAAAATTAAATATATCTACATAAGTTTAAAAAAAAAACAACCGAACATTTAGCAAACCTTCGTGCACGGAGGTTTATGCATTTTTTTTGTTATTTTTATTTGTAGTACATTTTTTTATTAATATTTAATTTAAAAAATTTAAATATATTTAAATATTTACTGAAAAATGTTGAAGTTAATATTTTTTTACCTATAAGTAACTTTTACAATTATAATTTTTTTATTACTTTTAAATAATTTGAAGTGATTTTTTTACTTATAAATAAGTTTTTACATTCTAGATAGTTTAATCTTTTTTTTTTTTTTTATATAAGTAGCTTTTGCAATTATAAGAGAATGAGGGATTAATATTTTTTTTTTACCTATAAGTAGCTTTTATAATTATAAATTTTTTTCTATTTTAAATAACTTGAGGTGAATTTTTTACTTATAAGTAATTTTTTTATATTTTAGATAGTGTAATCTCTTCTTTTACTTTTAAATAACTTAAACGGTTTGGGAACTGGTTTGGCAACAGGAAAAATTCTATTAAAAAATACTATAGAAATTTTGTCACATGTCATTTGAGTGCAATGTCACGTCTACTGCAATATTTTTCCCTTACTTTGAATCTGACACGTCATGCTCTTTCTCCTAATTCTCACGTTATTAACTACAACCATATCTTATATATTTAAATTTTTAAAATTATATTAATAAAAAAATTATTGTAAATAAAATGTAAAAAAAAAAAACATATTCACTCCGTGCATGGAGAAAAAAATTTACGTCATACCACATAATTTTTTTTGAGCAAAATGATGTATTGAGAAAATTGTTGCAAAAAATAATATAGTAATAAAATAATTGATTTTTTTTAAAAAAAACAACTTATACGCATTTTTTTAACACATACATTACCATAAAAGAGAGAATGCGGGTTTACTATTCATCTTTGTCACACTCGTTTTCACACTTAACTGGTTTGGGAACTGGTTTGACAACATGACAAATTCTATTCAAAAATATTGTAGGAATTTTGTCATACGCCATTGTCCACTGCAATATTTCTCCCTTGCTTTGAATTTGACACACCATGCTCTTTCTCCTGATTCTCACGCTATTAACTATCAACCATATCTTATATATTTAAATTTTTAAAATTTTATTAATAAACAAAATTATTGTAAATAAAATGTTAAAAAAAAAACATATTCATTCCGTGTATGGAGAAAAATTTACGTCATATCATATAATTTTTCTTAAGAAAAATAATGTATTGAGAAAATTGTTGCGGACAAATAATAAATAGTAATAAAATAATTGATTTTTTTTAAAGAAAAACGACTTATACGTATTTTTTAACACATACGTTTAATGTCCGTTTAACTATTTTCGATATTCATTTAGATCATTCGATATGTCTATGATATAGTTCTTGAAATGAGTTTCGAGAGAATGTAAAATATTTATCGATTCGACTATCGTACAATCGTCGATGAAATTTTAAAGTTAGCTTATTATATAATTTTTTTTTACTTTGATTTGTAGTACATTTTTTTTATTAATATTTAATTTAAAAAAATAAATATATCTATATAAGTTTAAAAAAAAAAAAACAAAACAAAACCAAACATCTAGCAAACCTCCGGAGGTTTATGCTCTTTTTTTTTTTTACTTTTATTTGTAGTACATTTTTTATTAATATTTAATTTAAAATTATTAAATATATCTAAATATTTATTTAAAAATGTTGAAGTTAATATTTTTTACATATGAGTAACTTTTACAATTATGATTTTTTTATTACTTTTTAATAACTTGAAGTGATTTTTTTACTTATAAGTAACTTTTTACATTCTAGATAGCTTAATCTTTTTATTAATAATTAATTTTAAAAACTAAATATTTATACTTAAAAAATTTTAAGTTCACTTTTTTTTTTTTTTTTATATACGTCGCTTTTGCAATTATAAGAGAATGAGGGATTAATATTTTTTTTTTACGTATAAGTAGCTTTTACAATTATAAGTTTTTTTATTTTAAATAACTTGAAGTTATTTTTTTACTTATAAGTAATTTTTTTATATTTTAGAAAGTGTAATCTCTTCTTTTACTTTTAAATAACTTAACCGGTTTGGGAATTGGTTTGACAACAGGAAAAATTCTATTCAAAAATACTATAAAATTTTTGTCACATGCCATTTGAGTGCAATGTCACGTCCACTACAATATTTGTCCTTTACTTTGAATCTGACACACCATGTTCTTTCTCCTAATTCTCACGTTATTAACTATCAAACATATCCTATATATTTAAATTTTTAAAATTATATTAATAAAAAATTATTGTAAATAAAATGTAAAAAAAAAAAAACATATTCACTCCATGCATGGAGAAAAAAATTTACGTCATACCACATAATTTTTCTTGAGCAAAATGATGTATTGAGAAAATTGTTGCGAAAAAAATAAATAATAATAAAATAATTGATTTTTTTAAGAAAAACAACTTATACGCATTTTTTAACACATACGTTTAATGTCCGTTTAACTATTTTCGATATTCATTTAGACCATTCGATATATTTATGATATAGTTCTCGAAATGAGTTTCGAGAAAATATAAAACATTTATCAATTCGACTATCGTACAATCGTCGATGAATTTTTAAAGTTAGGTTGTTATCGAAAATTTCGAAATATAGTTTGAAAATGCCTATTTTAACATTCCGTAACATTTGCTACAATTAACCGTTTCACGCACCGTTAACGACATGCAATACTATGTCGCGAGTACTTCAAAATAATATTAAGAATGTAATATTTCGATTTCATTTGATATCCCGTAATGAGCTTGAAAATGAACACAAAAACGTAAGTAAAAAAAACAAAAAAAAAACTAATGTTAGCAAACCTCCGTACACGGACGATCCAATCCTCCATGCATGGAGGATTGGAGGCTCCGTGCACGGAGCAATGTTCAAAGTAATGCACGTTTTTTTTAAAATTTTTTACTAATATTTATTTTAAAAATATTAAATATATCTAAATATTCACTTAAAAATGTTAAAGTTAATATTTTTTACATATAATAACTTTTACAATTACAATTTTTTTATTACTTTTAAATAACTTTAGGTGATTTTTTTACTTATAAGTAACTTTTTACATTCTAGATCGTGTAATCTTTCTATTAATATTTAATTTAAAAAAACTAAATATATTTAAATATTTATACTTAAAAAATTTTAAGCTAACATTTTTTTTTATATAAGTAACTTTTGCAATTATATCAGAATGATGAATTAATATTTTTTTTTATCTATAATTAGTTTTTACAATTATAAGTTTTTTTATTTTAAATAACTTGTAGTGATTTTTTTACTTATAAGTAACTTTTTACATTTTAGATAGTGTATCTTTTTATTAATATTTAATTTAAAAAACAAAATATATCTAAATATTTTTGTCACGTTGATTTTCACATTGAACTGGTTTCAAATTGGTTTAGTCCTTTGAATCTGACACACAATGCTGTTTTTCCATTTCTCTTTAGCGTGACAAAAATATTTAGATCTATTTAGTTTTTAAAATTATATTATATTAATAAAGAGATTACGCTATCTAAAATATAAAAAGTTACTTATAAGTAAAAAAAATCACTTTAAGTTGTTTAAAATAATAAAAAAACTTATAATTGTAAAATCTACTTATAGGTAAAAAAGAAAAAAATATGAATTCCTCATTCTCTTATAATTGTAAAAGTTACTTATAAGTAAAAAATATGTTAACTTAAATTTTTTAAGTATAAATAATTTCTTAAAGTTATTTACAAGTAAAAACAACTTATAATTGTAAAAGCTACTTATAAGTGAAAAGTATTAACTTCAAGTTTTAAATATATATTTTTACCTATAAGTAGCTTTTACAATGATAAGTTTTTTTTATTTTAAATAACTTGAAGTGATTTTTTTACTTATAAGTAATTTTTTTTATTTTAGATAGTGTAATCTTTTTATGATCTAAATATTTTTGTCACGCTGATTTTCACATTGAACTGGTTTGAAACTAGTTTGGTCATCTGAATCCAACATACAATACTCTTTTTCTATTTTCTCACGCTATAAACTATATATCAACTATATCCTATAATTTTATTAGTAATAATATTTTTCAAAATAATTTTTTTTTACATAAAAAAGATTCTTTATTCCTATCTAAAATATAAAAAGTTATTTCTAACTAAAAAAATCACTTCGATTAATAATAAGATAAAAAAATATTTCTAAAATGTAAAAAGTTTTTGAAATGAAATATTAATAAAAATATTACACTATCTAGAATGTAAAGTCCTATAAGTAAAAATAAAAATAAAAAATACTTCCGCTTATTTAAAAATAAAAGCTACTTATAAGTAAAAAATAAATTCAACATTTTCAGGTAAATGTGCACTCCGTGCACGAAGCATAATTTTTTTCCCTATTTAATTTTTTTTAAAATATATAATTTTTTTTAACTTCTTTTGTCTTTATGTATGCTTTAAATAAATCTGTTCAAATACTGCTTTTCTCTCCATGAAAGGAGGAATTTTCTTTATTTTAAATTTTTTCAACTTACATTTTTTCTATTTATAAAAGGGTTTAGATTTTTTTTAATTCTTTTCCCTTTATTTATGATTGAAATTAATACTTTTAATCACTGCTTTTCTCTCCGTGAAAAGAGAATTTTTTTAAAAAATATATTTTCAATTTATAAAATTTTTTCATCTTTTTTTATTTGTGAATTGGTAGATTAAAATTATTTCAATTTAATTTTTTTCTATTTATTATACAATTTTCTCCCTTTTTTTGGTGGATTGGTGGAAATAATTGTTTTTGCTTGCACAACATTAGACTGTTCATTTTTGTTCAGTACATTTTCACATTGAACTGGTTTGAAATGTGTTTGGTCAAAATGGTTTGCCTTACACTACTTTTCTTTTCTCTTTTCTTTCTTCTAAAAGGGGCAATCCCTGCATTACTATTCATTCTTGTAGCACTCGATTTTACACATTGTTCCAAAACTGGTTTTCTTACTATTCAAACCTTTTATCTCGCACTTTCATCCACTTGGTTGTAGTAACCGTTCACAAATTTCTCCCCTATAAAGTTACTTTTTGCTCTCTCTCTCTCTCTCTCTCTCTCATTTCATACGTCTTTTGGATTAGCTCATTCCACCACAATCAAACCAAACTGAGGAAGAAAAAAGGTAAAATCCAAAATACACACGCTTGCCTCATATTGAACTTCCTTTTCATTCCATTTTTAGAACCTATTTAATCTGATAACTGTCATTTGGGTAGTGTTCTATATTGAGCAACGCATTTCCCTTTGAAATAGAAATTCCAATTTTTCCAATTTTTTCAATATTTTCTTCGATAAAATGTTTATTTTATGATTCTCCTTCTTGTAGGTTCTTTTATATTCGTTTTCTTCTCTACGATGCTCCCAGGTGAAAATATTTTTTTATTTTCAATTTTTAGTTTTGTAGTAATAGCAATCACGATAATTTTGAATGATTTCTTGAATTTGTGAATTTGTTGCTTTTTTTATTGTTATTCTACGTTGAATAACACATATCCCTTCAAAATAGAAATTCCAATTTTTTCAATGTTTTCTTCAATTAAATATGTTTGTTTGACTGTTCTTCTTCTTATAGGCTCCTTTATCTTTTTTCTCTTCTCTATGACACTCCCAGTTAAAAACTTTTTTTTTTCTTGTTTTTGATTGTGTTGTAACAGTAATCATGTTAATTTTGAATGATTTCTTAAATTTTGTGAGTTTGTTGCCTTTTTTTGTTAGTGATGATGTGTCACTTGAGGGACTAGAGCAAGACTTTGAAGATTGAAAAATTGATGTTGTAAGTAGAGTCATCGTTTTTGTGGATTATAATATAATATATTATATCAATCATACACTACCTTAAAAGAGAGAACGAGGCAGTTACTGCTCTTGTACTTTTAAATTAATTTTATTTTAGTTATAATTTGTAATAAATATTGAATTATTTGTTTACAGCAAGTTGTGACAACTACGGTTTTGAAAGTGCAGTTAAACTGCGAGGGATGCATACAAAAAATTTACAAATTTGTGACCAAACCAAAAGGTGAGTAGCCACCGTGTTATGTTTATTGAAATTGAAGTGTTTAATTGAGACATTGACAATGTTATTGGGTATTAGAATGTGTAAATAGACAGATATAAGGATTTGATAAGAATGACTGAAGTAATGAAACTGAAAATTCTAGCCGATTCTCTAAATAAATAGAGGAGGATTTGATGTTTTGCTCATCCAGAGGATTAGCCTTTGCAATCAAATTTGGATTAAGTTGACTGCTTTCATAAAAATAATAAAATAATATTTTTAAGATATGTATTCGTTTGCAAATTCTTGATTCTTTTTCACAGTGTATAGTTTTGTTGGGATTAGGTACACGTTTGATTTACTTCCAATCTCAAATTTTCTTGACTTTCTGCGAAACTGCATTTCTTGAACCTTGCAGGAAAATGAGGTTATCAGTATCCGTGTCTGTTATTTTCTTAGGTAATATTGAAGATGTTCACGTACATGTATCGTTGGAGGTTTGACTTCCTTTTCTTCCTTGTGCCTTTCAATTATCTCAAAGGTAAAAGAACAAATATAAATGAGCCGAATCACTATCCACTAATGCCACATTTTCCTTCGAATAAACTTTGCTTAACATTGCGCATCTCTGAATTATCCTCAATTCCAAGTTCAATATTAATTTAAACCAGGATTATGTGTTAATCCCAAGTACTTTTGAATTAAAGCATAATTAAACTTTAAACGAGTAGAAACAAAAAGTGTTTGCAAATAATACCTTTTTGATTGATATTATATTTGATGCACCCACTACTCCATTTATGGTGCATGCTTTTGACTTAGTTTAAGGTTTTGCTTGAAAATGGAGTCATTGTCTTGAGATTGAATGTGTGTTTATTTTAAATAGTTTGTCATGTGCAATGTTCTCACGTGTAGATATTATTATTTCTAATGAAGTACATTACTTGTGTGAAATATCTATGTGTATGGTGTCAGATGAAATTTTTTTTTCCAATTCTATAATTTTCGACCCGATTTATTTGCTTCATCCAATTAGTTATTTTTATCATCATCCAGGTTATTTAAGAGTAAAAAAAAATGTTATAATTGTAAAAGCTACTTTTAAGTGAAAAATATTGACTTCAAATTTTAAGTATATTTCTAAAATGTAAAGAGTTACTTATGAGTAAAAAATTTGTTTCAAGTTATTTAAAAGTAAAAAAAAAAATGAAATTTGCAAAAAAAAAATTGCATCATGTGCACGTAAGTGTGTATGTGTCTGACAAGCACCTGTTTATACGAATGAAATGCATGTGTTCATACACCAACTAATTCTGTTCAATGTATTCTCAACTTTTCCTAAAAGTATGTGGCACGTGAAAAGCAATAAAAAAAATATAGATGGCAATGCATTCATGTTAATGATTTAAGACAGTTATATTACATACATTGTCACTTACCATTATGATATTGCAAAAAAGTTAAGCTTTTCTTTTAGTATAGCTTTTCTTACTTCTGTAGACTAATTCACTTGCACTCCTGGAAGATGGTGTTGTTACAGCAGTATTGCTTGGCTCTGCACCCCCCTTCTACACTTTTACCTGCTAGATCATCCAAGGTAATAAGAAAAAAATAAGAAATAGTGGTTTATAAATTCAACGATGTTATCTTTCTGATTATATCGTTCCACATATTCTAACTTGTTATTTTGACAGTTGAATGAGGTGCCTATGCCTAATCCATTTCATAGGCCTCAATCTGGTTTCATGATTGATGTTACAAGGGTTGAAGGCAAGTCATTTAAAATAAACAACCTAAAAGCAGGAGCTTATAGCTTCTATGCATGATAAAATTTTGAATGGTTGTTTTTTATGTGCAGATTCTTAACTTATGGTTGGCTCTGCGAATCTGCATTTAACACTAGTCTTATGGTTATGGTCATGGACAATGATGATAGAGTAGGCATTCAACTGTCAGGTAACTGACCTTTGTCATTGATTCATGGATTCCCAGTCATGATCAATTGTTACATTCTTTTGTGTATGCCGATGAACATGAAGTGTCTTTGGACTCTTTAAATGAAAGATCAAGTATGCTTAATACTTGTAGGGTACTAAATGATTTTGTTAGTCATCTCTCCCTCCCCCTCTATCTTTCTCTATGTCAGCACGCATATATGTTTACTAAAGCCAATTGATCCATTTTAGGATTGTATACTTAATTGAAAATTTCAAAACTTTATTTATACAAAATGTGCATTCAAGACTACTAATATCACTGTTAAACTTTTGGAAAATGATGGCATGTTGTTCAAGTCCCTTTATACACTTAAATTTTGTTTGCTAATTGTTTTTTTGTCTTTTTTAAAGTGTACTTTATTTCCTGACACTCTCTAGATGCATCGTCACTATAGTTTTTATTAGTTACATTATATATAAATTCACCTTAGCAAATCAATCTAGTGCACGTCTCTCATCAATCCTTAATGCTAGACACACTAATATTACCTTAAAAAATAACACAGCTCGTACATTGCATGGGCATGCAACTAGTAATAAATAATAAATGTTAACAAATTGTTTTATGACATTTATTCAATTAATTAGATTATTTAGTAAAACATAAAAATTTTAAACTAATATATTACCATATAATATATATTTTAAACTTGGTGCATTTACTATTTTAAAAATACTGCTGAGCAAAAAAAAAAAAATCAAAAAGGCGTGTTTTGAGCATTTTTCGCTTTTTTAACTGAAAATGCCCAAAACGAAAAAAAATAGTTTTGGGTTTTTAGTTATAAATTTTTCCTTGTTTTTGGAAACGAGTGACCAAACACGTTTTGGACGTTTTCGAAAACTAAAAACAGAAAACGACTGGAAAACGGTTGCTTGTGAGATATTGTCTATTATCTAACTTTTGCAATGCCTAAAAGTTAGATGCTATTGTTTTACCATTGTATCTTATTGTATTCTATCGTAAGCTGCTAATAAAATATTCGTGTATAAGCTTTCATATATAAGCTTGTAAAATCTCAATTAGATAATTCGTTAGTCATTTCGACCCAGACACCCTACCCAAACTCTCCCATTTCAGCAACCACCTACTAGCGTCCTCCAATTATCGACTCTTGGATCACAAAAGTGATGTTGAAATAAAGGGAATGACTGAATATAGTAGGTCTAGCATCGAGTATAAAGAGCTTTATTTCTACTCTATTTCTTTTCATTTTTATAAAGGGGTTTTTTTTTTTTTTTTTTTTTTTTTTTTTTTTTTGGTTTTTTTCCCCCCCCCCCCCCCCCCCCCCCCTTCGAGACATATATATTGATGGAAAACCAAAATATCTCATTAGAAAATTACATGTCCACCATGTGTTTCTTTTACTAGAACTAGTCTCTGCCCGTGCATAGGCTATTTTGAAGGAAATGTTAGTGCATTAAATGTGTTAAATTCTTGTGAATTATATCAACACCATGTTTGTCAAGGCTATGCTGGGATGAACTTCCTTATTTAGCATGCAAAGAGACTGTAACATTCGAAATGAAGCATAGAGACTTGCACATTTCCAATTCTTTTGATTTGTGATCTAGTGAGTCCACAAGAGTGTGTTTCAACAATGTTAAGCAACGATTCTATTTCCTTTCAACTTCTATTTCCTTTTTCCATCTTCTAAGAATCGACCTACTTTCAAACAATGTATTCTTAGCACATATTTAGTATATAGTACTGGATAGTATATTTGTTCACAATTTAGGGCTTGTGTCAAGCCACGTTATTTTAAAAAAAAATACTTTTTTCAGCAGTGATTTGACATCATTTCAACCACATATTCTTCAATAAAATAATATTACACGCAAATCTAAAACTTTTCCTTATTTTTTAACCACAAATTTCCCATTAATTTGACATGAGCAATACATTTTTTTCTAGAATGTGTCTCAAATATGTGCATAACCTTTTTTTTTTTTTTTTTGTAAACTATCTTGGATTACCAAAATAGCCACACGCTTTTATTGTTTAGTAGAGGAAAAAACTAAATGATTGTCATCCTCCGTACCCAAAATAATAATTGCAAATCCTTTTATAGCATATATTCCAGTCCAGTCTTCCGATGACGTGTGAAAACCAAGAGACTCAAAGAAATGGCTAAATCCTATAAAACACAATATAGAAGCTTAACAAAAATCTAAACCGATTTTTCAAGAATTCACATTGGGATTTTTCTTAATCCTACTGTGGCGTCGTCTAATTTTTTCTATAGAACAATTTTCATTTATACATAATAAATTTTTTAGCAAACATAACAGCACCAGCCACAGAGACTACAGAAGCATTAGGCGTCTCGTGCATGTTATATTCTCTTTCCATAGTTAGATCAAGAGAAATCCTAAAACTGGAACTAATGGTGGAATATTAACAATCAATAAGATTTTACAATTATCTGAATTTCAAATCATCAGAAGTGTGACTAACAGAGGGAAGAGAAGTCAGCGGCAGTAGTTAATAACCCGTGACGCATAATACCGAACACTTTTCCCCACCTTTATATATAGCCCATAGTTCATTTTTGAAAATAATAAGAGTAGCCAAAACTTTTAAGTATCTAAAAATTGTGTAAGTATGATTGAACTAACCACAAGGATTTCTATCCCATCGAGAATAGTGTGCCCTTTCTCCTCTACTCGTCTTAAAGCAGTCTGCACGAAAATTACAATATCGCCCAACATTAGCTACAATAAGTGACAATTGGCTGGTTTGCCACACAAAATATATTATATATGCAAGAGATTGAGTTCTTACAATTGGAAGCTTTAGTTCACGAATATGTTGGGACATTGAGAGGATATCAATAACGTTGTCTTCATCCCTCCATTCTCTGTTAAGTTTCCTTATGAGCCCAGCATTGCAAAGAAGTACTGATAACTCAACGCTCTCAAAACAACCAACATCACTAATTGAAGTATCTCTTGTTTTACAAGTGGAATTACTGAGACAATCAACTGCTAACTTCATTGCCATCGAAAATTAAGATGAAGTATTTCTAAAATATCCAGCAAAACGTAATAAAGAAACTTTGAAAGAAATTTTTTGCCCTTAAATATAGCATATATAGTAAATATCATCTCAATGTCAATGTATGCTCCAAATATCAGTGTGTACACTACACACCATATACATGTAGTATATGCTCAGAAACAATAGCGCATGAGTAATTAAGTTCAACATATGCAATATTTCTCTACTTTTGTTCCTATTAATCTATAGTGCATTATGTCTCAAATGTGCCGTTTTCCACACAATTCTTCAATCCACATAACTATAATTTTAATGTACAAAAACAATCAAATGCATTAAAGAAAAGTAACTTACTTTGATTTTGGAACAATTAAAAAGTACTTCTTTTGAAACATACTTGTTACTTTAAAGTAAAACTTTTTAAGCTTAGCACATGCTGTATATCGATTACCAAAATTAAAGGATCTTCGGTCAACTATTCTTGGATGCAAATCTTGACATTGAGCTCCAGCTCCTTTTCTTTACTCTTCCTCGCTGTAGCCAGTACTCTCTTCGTGATTCCACCACAATTTCCATATGCATTTCTTAATTCTTGTGCAATTCTCAAGCTTCTATAATTAAACTTCCTCCGACCAAAAATCGTGATAGAGTCCCAAGATTTTGACTTCACAATGTGCGAATGAGGAAGAGAAGATGTAGCAATGATTGAGGAAGGGCGGGCGTGTGTATGCACATGCACTGACATTGAGAAGGAGAGAGGGCGAAGGATAGTACAAAGGAGAGAGGATCTAAAGCACACCATCACTATTTGTTAGTCTCATCAAATTTTCATCAAAAGGATCAAAAGGGTTAAAAAGATTTTCTGGCTAGATCCTCCATTGTGGTAGCCGTGTCTAGTATTTTTTGGATCACATCCCATTACAATCCACCATTCATGGTTCTTTATAGCTTGATGACAATCTTTTAGAGGTGTGTATCCAACTAACTCCATCCATGATTCAATAAGATCCATAATGGCTGTTGCAATGCAATTGCCTAAGTAAAACCAATTGGAATTTATTTTTGAAGGGCCCACATTTCCAATGAAATAGCTTCCGTGCATTGGCATAAAATCAAAAACCCATTCTAGCAGAGAATTAGGTACGACGCTAAACTTTTTAATTGTTGTGTGAAAATAATCCTCTATCTTATATCGATGTATATCCAATCAGAAGTAATTTTTCATATGGTAGCTCAACACATGTAGAAAAGGGCGAACAAATGGTGTTAGGGGAAAGAGGAATCCATTTCGTTAAGGTATCTATAAAGGCTCTAGTCTAACATGTGACTCAATTGACCAAGCTTAGGGTTGGTTAGTAGTACATCCCATGGTTATGAGTTTTGTTGCTTGTGAAGCCTAGTAACCCTATAAATGTTGAAGACGAGGGAAACTAATTCCTCTTTCTGGTTTGTAAGCATTCTATCAATTATCCCCATATTTTGGGAGATAATTTTGCAGAACTTTTAGATTGACAAAAGGTTATCAGGCTATTCTAAAACAAGGATGTATATAACAATTTTATGTATCTTATTCCCCCCTAGTCCATGGTATAATGAAGCTGTGTTTATCAGGGTATGTTCCAGTGAATTTCTAGAAAATGGAATGAAAGGCAATGATGTAGAGTGAGGAAACACATATAGCACATATTTTTTTGTAAAATGTTTATGCCCTCGTATATGCAATAATAAATATTACTACGGGGTATAACAAGATATTATCATGCTTCTATTCTCTCTGTTATTGCGTATACAAAGAAAGTGACAACATAAACCCAAAAACAAAGCAGGTAGAATAAGAAACTCACTCCCATGGGACATCTCCAACAAACATACAGTTACCAAATCAAAAAGCATTTCTCGCCTTCCCTCATGTGTTACGCCTTCTAATTAAGATTTTACAACAATTGTAATCATTGATGAACTCTAAAGGAACCCAAAAAAAATTCCAATGATACTTGCAAATTTATCTCCGAAGGTAGAATTCATTGTGAATTTGAGCTATTTTCAAACAGAATTGATACAGTGCTTCGTTCATTTAAATCTAAAGTAAAACCCAATAATCAATAGAAAGAATTAAAAAAGCAATGATTAATTCAAGAAATCAAACAATTGAAACACCAAATTCAAAGAAACAGAAACAAATGTTTCATAAAATTTAGTGAACATATACCTACATAGAAATAAGAGAAATTAGACAAAGAGAAGGAGAAATTTTTAAAGATTCTACTCTATTGAGAAAGAATCAAGAGCCCCAAGCACCAAGCAGAAGGGACCTTTTAGGGTGTTATGTAAAAATCTATGCAGCTGGCATTTACAGTAAAGGGAAAATGTAAGATGCTAATTCTATAATAACAGATAAAATTTTCCATGTAAAAGTCAAAGAGATAAAGGAATGTTATTGGATGAGAGGGGAAAGAAGACACCTGAAATAAAACCAGATGATCAATAGAAGAAAATGAGAAAAACAATGATTAATTCAAGAAATACATGACTATATGGATTGCATGGGATTAGAAATTGTACATTTAAAGAATAAGGTGATCCATTGTAAGGATTTAGATGCAAAGACATTGTTTGCATTCATGAAGGGTATGACCAGGTTCGTCGAGCCTAGAGGAAATGTTTGGGTTATTGTGGCTCAGAATGCAGAGGAGTCGACATTAATCAAATGCATTTAACAAGAAAGAAAGGGTAAAGGTCATAAAACTTACAGAATCAGCCATTTGTAGAACAACACTCGATATTTTAAGAATTGGAAGAATATTGTCTGTTAAGGCAAAAATATATAACACTCAAGGCCTCCTATATCTATATTTAATGTCTGTGAGATTGAACAAGGAGCAGATAATGGTTGAGATATAAAAAGAACCACAACCTTGATCTTTCAGGATAAAGATAAGTTATTAATTACTTGTGCATTAGGACTAATGACATCCTACAGATTATGGTAATTCCAATTCTAATAGAGAACAATCGACCTAAAGATTTAAACATGCTTCTAATACAGAATTTTAATTATCAATACAATGAATATACAATACAGAACTATACAAATAACTGCACTAAAAAATAATACTTAAGAGATATAAATAGTCATACCTGCTGGTAGTAGAGAACGAAAAGGAGAAAGATCCTAGAGATAGATATGAGTTAGACCTTGCACAATATCAATGAACAAACGTTAGATTGAAATAGAAAAGACAATTCAACCAAAAATCAAAAACAAAATATAGAACACAGATCCAGAACTTCGAATTTGAAATAAGAGAGAATCAGAAAATCAAAGAAAAATAAAAACTTAAACCCTTTTCTAGGGTTTGTGTTCAAAAAAAGAATAAATCTTAACTTTTCACCAAACTGGTTGACTTCGTAGCCAAAAATTGGCAAAAGATCAGTAAGAACAATGAGAGGTCGATTAGCTAACAAGAAACACAAGTTGCAGAGAACGGGTAACATGAAAAACCATAATCAAACCAATAGCAAAATCAACTGAAATACATAGAAATATAGAACTCTCTTGTCATCTTCCTCCAGCTCCCCCACCACACCTTGCTCGGTTGCTTTGCCATAGTGAGGAGTGAGTTTTGAGAACGGACAAGATAGGGCTTTCTTTGGTATCGAGAGAGGAATGAATGTGTTTCATTCGAGCCCTCATATATCCTAAAATGTTAACTGTAGAAGAACCGGCTTGTAAACCAGGTGTGAAAAGGCATCTGACGTAGATGAATAGTATTCTCCCAAGTCTCTCTTTTAAGAGAAGAAAGAAAAGAAAAGAAGAGAGGAGTAGATAGATAATTATGGGACTTCATCCAAGTGGGGGGTTTGTATGCCAATTTATAAAAAATTAGGGATCTACGTGATTAAAAAGTAAATGAGATACAAATACTACATTCATACTTCTCCTGTAGAATATTATGCAGTCCATTTACATCTTTCATATAGTATTTGTTTGGTACACTTTAAAAAGTTGCTACAAATTAAAATTAAAGACAAAAATTAATTTTATTCACAAATTAATGAGGCCAAGAACTTTTGTCAACTTTTCAACCACATATTTCATTAATTTTTATCAAAATCTATTAAAACTTTTATAAAAAATTTCATCAAACAACCCCTTAGATTATATATGATCCACTTGTGTGTCAATAAATTATTATCATGTTCTCGAACTAAATAATAAAAAAGACAATATTCAAAAAAATTAACTTTATGGGTTTTGATAGTAATATATGTATTGTACGTCGTCGAGTTTGTTGAGTACGAGTAAGAAAAAACAAAAATATATTTAAATTGTATAAATGTTGTGGCAAATAAAAAGTAATAAAACTCAATCGTGTACTTTTGTTCGAGGATATCTCAAACTTTGTGATTTCTTCAAAAACTTGTCATTTTTTATATTCAAAATAAAGAAATTGTTGATCTGGTTATATATGAGTTGGCAATTGGCTTTCTTTTTATTTTTATTTTTTATTCATTGATTGATTATTAGCAAAAGATGAATAAAAAAATTAATTAGCTCCTGTTTCATTTGGATAAAAATAGATTTTTTAGTAAATTTTGATTAAAGTTGATGAAATGTGTGATTAAAAGTTAATAAAAATTGTGCTATAAAATCTACAATTGAAAATGAGTTTAAAAAATTAGGACGGAGCAAAAACCTACTCAAAACCTGGCAAGCTACATATTATAGTTCGGTAACTAAGGTGTCTAACTTGGAACATTCACATTGTTTTATTTATTGATTAATAGGGAAAAAAATGTGTTCATCAAAAGTCTATTAAGGAACCTTTTGTTTTGGACTTAAACGTTATTATATATATATATATATTTTTTTTTTCAATCAAAAGTCTATCAAGGGACTTTTTGTTTAGGACTTAGGGCTTGTTGATAGTAATTTTGAGAATTAATTTTTTGATCGTTGGAGAAAAAAGTGGGTCCTACCTGAGAGAGAAGAAATAAAAAATGACGGCTTAAATAGTGAAATAACGGTCAAAAAATTGATTTTTTGAGGTAAAAAATCAATACTAAACATGCACTTAAATGTTATTATAATTATTTTCCCCCTTTTTTTAGATAGTTGCATGTTAATAAATGTTAACCAATAATAAAATAAATAAATTTCTAGGTTCTAATTTGAATTAAGAAATAAATTAATAACATCCATTATATGTAAAAAAATAAAAATAAAAAAATAAATTCACAGCCTTATTAATTTATTGAAGTTATATTATAGGCTGAGAATCAAGGTCTCTAATTGATCCAGACGATTAGAACTCTATATACATACTTTTTATTTTATTGATTACATGTCAATAAAAATTCATGAAAACAAAAATAAGTACTTGAGACGAAGTATCATAGTTGACATATTTATGGATATTAACTAAATCTGTGGAAATTGTCTTCTGTTTTCTTTATTTAATTTCTCAACTCGGTAGATGTCTTGATTGGTAACTTACTTTTTCTGTATTTTCTTTTTCTTTTTTTTTTCTTTTCTTCATTTTATAAATATTATAAAATAAGGAATTAAAAGTATATTTAGATCTTATTTGTAGTTGTTACGGTTGCTGAAATGCTATTTTTAATAATAATCCTCAAATTTTCAAATTAAAATATTTTTGATAATTGATAAGTGCAAATTATACATCTATCCCGTAACTATAACCGTGCGTGTTATATTGATTTATGTCGAGTTATGTATTTTCGAAAAGACCCAAAGATTGGATGGAAGCAAATCCAAAGTGCTATCTTGCTACGAAGGCCAAACCACATGATTGTCGACGTTGAAACCTGAACCTTCTCTACATCTTATATATGTAATGCTAAGGAAGAATATCAACCTCGCTGTAATTGTGAGCGATGCAGCAATCGTTAGCATGCCTAGTTGTCAGCCCCTTAAAGGCTGACATGCGCAATGGCATGGGCACGCATGGACAAGTGTGTTTATGTTACACTTTGGAACTCAGGAGCAAGGCAAATGTGAGTTTTCAGCTTGTGGGCGTTTTGCTTTAATTTAGCCGGTGTCAAAGTGTTACGGCCTGGCAAAAATTAGCATGACATGGACGAATCCAGCTTGCTATTCAGTGTGCTCTAGTCCACAAATTGGGGGTGTCCAGAACAAGCACATGTTTGACATGTGTATTAGGCGGTTTTCTTGGTCCATACTAGTAGAAAGTGTGGCCAGTTGTTGGGAAATGTCACGGGAGGCAATTTTTAGATAGTTTTAGCCATAGCGGGTTGATCCCTTTGGCTGTTAAAGGTGTTAACTACATACGAGTTTGGCTATAAATATGTGAAGGATCAGGCTGAAGAGACATAGGGAAACTGTTGTGCTCCTTCAGCGTTCTTTGTCTTTTTGTATTATTGTGGTGTAATAAAACAAGTTAGGTGATTACCCGTAAAAATCAATGTTGCTTTCTTTACATTGTTGCCTATATCATTCCTTGTAAGCATTGTGCAAATTCGTGAGCCGACTAAGTGGAACCTCAGTGCCATCATAGGTAAAAATTTGGCTAAGTATTTTAACCAAACTTCGTACCTATGATACTAGGTGTGACGCGTGGACAAAATTGAGAGAGATTGTATGACATATTCAGATGAGTTTTGGGATTATTCAAATTTCAAACAAAACTTTCTCATCTAGTATTATTTCATCCCCCTTTAAAATGATAGATGTCAATGGTTCAAATTTTGAATGTGCCTCAAGCTATCTAAGTAGGTATATCAACGAGTCGAAACTTAAGGTTAGGACTCAGCTCAAATAAAAATGATTCAAGCTTTTTTTTCTCGAGCCGAACCGCACTTTTGCTCTACCAAAAATTTAGACTCAACTCAAGCTTTTGGCTCGAGCTTTATCGAGTCGAGTAGGCTCATTTTTTCATTTTTTATTTTTATATATATAATAAAACAAGGGAACTGTATGTGTGTAGGTAGCTTTGTGCTGCCATCATTTTATTATTATTATTATTATTATTATTATTATTATTATTATTATTATTATTATTATTATTATTTCTTCGCAGGCTGAAAATGGTCCGAGCTGACAAGCCACCCGGGTTGGCTAGGGTTTTCTTCTTGGCCGATCCCTAAGCGGTTCGAGTCGATGAGCCAAATTGACACTCCTATATCTAAGTATTCCCATACAAACTAGCACCAAAAAAATAGTGTTCTAACTTTTTGGAATAGTGTTATTTTGAAGAATGGGGTGGTTGACAAATAAAGAAAAGTGTCAATTTAAATATAATATTATTTTATTTAAAAATACATGGTTAAAAAGATGAAAGAAAAATGTATTAAAAATTTTAATGGTGGCAAAATGGGGACTTAACCAGAATCCCATAATAACTCGAAAAAATCTATAGATTGAGTTAAATTAATAATTAAGAATTACTGACATTGTTAATTGTTTAAATAAGTAAATAACTTCTATTTATTTATATTGAATTAGATTTTTAATGTTTAAATACAAAGAATAGATAAGCATCTGTAACTAGTTCTAACAATCCATTTTTTGTCCTAAAAGCAGACATAACTGTTGTTCCTGGTTGGAACTCAAAGTTGACCCAATTCACTAATTAATGAAATAAGGCATTTACAACAATAATTTGCCTCGCTTCCTTATTCGCTCTTAATGAGTGCTCTAACCTTCAAAATAATTTGACTTACAAAGCTTTTTTAATCAGATTAGTTAGATTTTTTTTATAAATGTTATTTTACTTAACAAAAAAAAAAGGGCAATGAAAAGCAAAAACGACAATTTAACAACCTCTCCTTCACTTAACATATATCCATTGAGTATATTATATATATATATATATATCAACGGGAATGAAAGTGGACTACCAATTAAATAAAAGTCTTGCTTTAATTAATTATTATTTCGCACACAAAAGTTGTTGTAGACCGCCACTAAACGCAGGTCGTCTAATGCTACTAAGCATTGACTTAATGATAGTAATGGGTTATCCATGGAGCTCAATGTTTTTGATATAATTATCAATGAAAAAAATTATGAGGATTGATGGCCACTTTTTGTGATTAATTGTACCAAAAAAAAAAAGTGTTAATAAGAAAGACCCATATTTTACTTTGATTTTAAATCAATTTTTTTTTTTAATTTTGTAATCTTTTATGTTTAACTCTATTAACCCCAATTTGATCAATGTATTTAGATTTTTGAATTAAAATTATTGAAATAACAGTTTTTGAATTGAATTTTAAGGCAAAACAAGTTTTTCCATCCTCGATTAAGTAAAATGAAATCAACACGAAATATTGATTCAAACTAGATATGTAACAAAAGTTGGGTAGGAATAACTCTCTTTCTAGTAGTCATATGTCGGGATGCGAGTGGACACAACACAACCTATATAGCGTTTGAGCCTCCCCCTCAAAAATGCATTTTACAACGGTGTTATGATGGAGCATTTGTTGTTAAAAAATAAGGAAATTTTTTTATTTTCGTATAATATTAATTTTATTAAAGGAGATGTGGTTGAAATTGAGTCAAACCACTATTCAAGAATGTATTTTTATGAAAAAAAAAAAGGCTCAAACAAGGGCATAATCTATCAATTTATTTCGTGCAAAAGAATTATGAGTTCAAACGCAACATATGCCATGCTTGGTTGGTTTGGTTGTGCTTCATTTTGGCTTCTATGGTTGATTTTTTTATTATTTATCTATTTTTTAATAAAAATAGAAAAAGGAAAGGGTTTGCTTTGATCAACTAGCATAGGACTTGAAAAGCCAGCCCTGCACGACTTTTTTCTCATGATCAGGTGACTCACA